CTTGATTATACGAAACATTGTAAACAGACTGCACGTTGGTCGTTCACTTTCTAATATTATTGGAGGCCTTGGTTATAAATTCTCTTCACTTTGGTAATATTTACTATTTTTAAATGTTTCTTATTTAAGCAATTACTCGAAGAAAACAAAAATAGTGGTAATTGTCGCAATAACTTTTCCCACCGAATATAAAGTGCCACACATACCAATAAAACCACTAAAACTCAAATATAAAAACACTTGTTTCAAAGGAAGTTTATCCAAAGAATAGCGAAACTTTCTATTGAAACAAGAATTATAGCGATGGATAGCAAACATACATCAATCGTTTTAGAAATTCATCACACCACCAAGAATAAACTCCGAAATCTGTAATTATTTTATTTGTTATAAATAGAATTTGGTTTACCGAATCCATAATAATAATAAAGTGAACTGTTTCTAATATTAAAATAGAATAGAAGAATTAATCACTGCAACTACTTCTCGTGTGAAACTTATGTAACTTTCCTTAGATCACTGGATCTTAAACAAACCGCACTACCATTATTTGCTATGGTAATAAACATCGCAAAAGTTAATATGCATATCGATGCCCTTGACGCTTGAAAATAGAGGAAAGTGTAATATCTGATTACACGTTAGATACCTACATGACTAAATAAACCCACTATTTCATTTAAATTCCAAAAGACTGATATAAATAGCTTTGTAGGTATATATTTAGTGAAGAAAACACATACAAGAAAGACGAGGTGTAATATATTATGACATGTTTTGACAATTTGTGTATAAAAAAAATAATCAAGGTCGAATCACCTAATTGACCTGTTCTCAGAAAAAATAGCGTTCCAACGTATTGAATAAAAAAAAATTAAAGTTGTGTTGTATATTTTGAAAAATCAGAACGCATATTGCAGCAATCTACTCTCAATGTATAAATAAAACACAGTGCAGCCAAAATATGGTATCTGCAGAAAAAACTTTGTTTATATTGAAGAGAATGGGTCAAGGAATGTACGTCAAAATCTTTTGTTGTGTGTTAATCAAGATAAGAATGTTATAAACCAAACTAACTTCCCAGTCTTTCCATAAAGAATAATAAATCGTCTATCCCGGAGATTTAATTCAGTGTTGAGTAACTTTACACTATCCCTGTTTTAATTTAGAACTGGCGATAAATTAAAAATTTTTTTTGAACCGTCTTAAAAATCAAGTTTTTCAGCTTCCACCAGCAATGCTAAAACAATGTAACTAAAACTATTGTTAGTAACAATATTTTTGCCTGAAGTAGTGAAATGAAAGTAAACTGATTATGGTTTTTTACAACTAACTACAAACACAAAACATTGTACCTTGTCATATTAATTTTCTCTAATATTTTTGTAGATAGAAAGTTTTGTTTTGGTTGTCACAATGTTAGGGCTACTCGGATTCCTGGTCAATGAACTGTGGAACATTCACTGCAATTTGCGTTTAAATAGTTTGTCAATGAATAATGCAAATTTCACCGCTTCTCTTCAAAATCATAATTACTATTTCAGGAATTTAAGATTTCTAAAATGTGTCATTTTCGATAAAATTTCGTTTTAAGTCATATATTGACCAGCTAGTAGGTACTATATAGTACCACAAAAGAAGCAATTAAATTACTTATTTTTCACATATATAATTGTATTCAAAATCGAAGTGTCAACAAATAGCTCCGAAATTGACACTGTACAATGTACATACAGTAGAGTCCGCCAAATAGTGAACACTGACTTTCTATTTCTAAAAGTCCCTAATAAACAGCTTACAAGCGACTGTAAATTATCATTACTATAATCCTAAGCGATTTACTGGTGGCTTCAAATAAACAGAAAATCAATGTTCAGTATTTGACGGACTCTACTTTAAGTTGTTAAGATCAATTTTTAACAAACTTCTTTTTTTTTTTTAATTTTTTTAATTTTTGAAAACTTTCTTTGAACGTCAAAAAACAGCAGAGGACCCTGAGATTCTTCAAAATTATTTAAAAAACAAAACACCAGAGGCTCTCGGAATCTTTCAAATTTATCGTATATTAATTTTGCTAAAAAGCTTATATTTCGTATATCTTGTTGTATTCGAAATCATAATATACAACTATCTGCGAAACGGACATTGTAAAATAGAGTCCGCCAAATAATGAAGATTGACTTGCTGTCCCAAAACTGCTTATTGGCTGTAAATTATCATTACCATAATCATAAGCGCCTTATTGTCAGCTTCAAATATACAGAAAGCCAATGTTCATTATCTGACGAACTCTAGTGTAAGCTCTTATAGGCATTGATAATAATATTAATTTTTGAACAACTTCTGTTCTTTGAATTTTTGAAAACTTTCTTTGAACATCAAAAACGTAACCAGAGAAAGCACACTATAATATTCCAAAGTCTCTATAATTTAAAATATACAGGGTGAGCCACTAAGCGCACGCTCATTCATTATTATTTAATAAAGATAATAATAGGAAAAAAGTTAGACCCAAATTATACGTTTTTGTGAATAACATACATTGAAAGTATATTCGACTATACAGGAGGTTTTATAGTTTTTCATATTCTTTTTAGCCTTTTTCTAGCCTTTATAACCAAAGTTTATCTTTAACACTTCGATTAAACTTTTCCACGTTATTCCAATTTTTTTGAATTTGTTATTTATGTAAGGCTTCGCAAAAAACATCGTAATAACGGTATCAATTAAATAAAGTTTTGACATACAGTATGTTTAAAATAAAAATTTTAAACTTACTTTCAAACATCGATTTTTCAGTTACTTCAAATTGAACACCCTGTATTTTGTTACTGCGTCTTACTCTATTTTTGTTCGCTTTCTTTCAAAATTTCAGTGTGTCCTTTAAAAAGCAAAAACTCACAATAACTATCAACTTTAAATAGTACAAAAAATACTTGACAAAAACAGAACCAAATCAGAATGGGATGCAATAATAACATACAGGGTGTTATAATTTAATTTTTTCAATAAACACACCAAAGGTGCACGGTTTTTGAGGACTATACTTTAAAATGATTTTTAATTATACTGAGTGTTCAGTTTTTAAGGCCTAACACACAACATAGTTTTATTAAATGAAATACCCTATATATTTTTACATATTATCATTATCACAGTTTATTTTTGAATTTTAGATGCGTCGTTGCCACTTTTATCCAATTTTCTAGAAAGTATTTGCCAACGAAGTAAGGGTAATTAAATCAAATTTTAATATACAGTGTGTTTATAAAAAAAACTATTTTTCTGTATTTTATTACAGTATCTTACTCTATTTTTTGTTATCATGAAAAATACGTCACAAAAAAAGAAAACATAAATTTAAATAAGGTGCAATAATAAATTACAGGGTGTTTTATTTGAAAAAACTGAAACATCGATATTATATTTTTTCATAAAAACTGTGTATATGAAGATTTAACACACAATAAAGCACGCATCTTTATTTATGTCTCTAGAAAATATTGTAACACAGATTTTACAAATAACCCTACTGCGATTATTTTTGTAAATCCTTCTATTGCTAAAAATAAAAAAAAATGGAGCAACGTGTCAATGTCGCATCGGAATTTCAAAAATTGCAGCCTAAGAAGAAGTCAATTAAAATATGTAAAAATATATAGGGTGTTTAATTTAAGAAAACTAAGTTATGTGGTACGCCTTAAAAACGGAACATTTTGTTTAGTTAAAATAATTTTAGAATAAAGTCCTCGAAGAACCGTACAACTATGGTCGTCGACTTTTTTTTATTTCTAATAATTAATGACATCTCGAGGAACGCGCTTAGTGGTTCACCCTGTATATAAATTGAACACAATAAAACTAATCTTTTCTACAAACAGTGACATTGAGAAACTGACAAAGTTATTTAAAAAAATATATATTTGTTTATTGTATAAAATTATTCAAACCGAACTTAAGTCAATTCGTAAGCATAACCGAAACTGTCTGTTTCCAGAGGTGATCCAAGTTCATTGCAAATAAGTTCACACATTTTTTTTATTTTTGTGAACAGATGTACATAGAATAATTAATCTTTCATCAAAGAAAATTAAAATAATAAATTTAAAAAAATGTACGCCTACTGAAGCTACGTTTTCCATATGTTTTTGAATTACGTCATTAGTTTCTTTAATATAAAGCAGATATATATTACGCAATTGTCCAGATTTCCTGGAATGGTTCGATTAAGTGCCGAAATTTTCAGTCAACAGCTAATTTTTTACGGAAATTAAACGACCTGTTTTGAGCTAAGCGATAAAATAATTTTTTAAAGCCAACTCAAGACACGATACTTTTTGAATTCATATTAACAACCTTCTGGACCATTTATAGAGATAATAAAAAAATATGTTATATAAGTTTGATTTGATTTAGAGAGACTGTAAAATTATTCTTGGTTTTAACGACGGTTACATCTGCAGGAAATGCAATTTCAAGTCCAATCAAGTAATCACATAGTAATTAAGCTTCCTACTCAAACGGGCAATTTATTATGAAACTTTTTTAAAGTCAGTGCAGATGACATTCTTTAACAAAATTTAAATATTCGAATTCTATGTAGCCACATCTCGCATTTTTTTTTTTTTTTTAATTAAACGCATGACAATGATTATCATTTCCATTAAAACATGAAACCAGATTGTGTGGTATATTGTTCAAACAAACAATACGAGTAAATATTTTAGTCACACAGAAACAGTGAATGAATACGATTAAAATCGAACAGTCTCTATGTAACAAAAAACAAGGAAATCCCTTAAACTGTATTATTCATACCATCGCGTCATAATTTAGAACCACAATCTTACAACACCAATTCATTGACTAATTTAATAAAACCGCTACTCCCTGAAGTAGAAGAAACTAATTTACAACAATAGTCAATAAAAAGTGCCGCGGTTTGGCATTATTTGACGTTCCAAATACCTAATTTTCCACAGTCGAAAATAATGATTTACCATTAACATTGTCCACTTCATTTGCGTACGGAGACAGATCCAATCCATGGGCAAAAGTGTACCTACAGTGCGACCCATTGATGAAACTTTGCCCGTCAAGACAGCACTTGCGGATGCATCTAATTTTATCACAAACATCGTAACTACTATGACAAACCCTCACGACGAACAAATTGTTTTGATCTTTATCGACGCAGTATTGTCCACTGGCATCTTTAGTCTTTTTGTACTTAGTAATAGCGTCAATTACCAAATCGTGGGTATTTACCCGGACGTCGGCAATTATCTTGCACTCCCGAAGCCCAACTTTGACAAAACTTTCTCTAAAGAAAGTTGGCAGTTCGTTTTCGGACTTAACACAGCCATGAGAAGTGCTATTGTAGAAATAGTTGAGTGGACAACATTTAGAATACACCGGAACGTCCAGTTCTTCCACTTTAACTAAGTCGCTTCCACTGACGTTAAAAAGACCGACTGTCTTTTCGACATCGATACATAGACCTTCTTCTTTGGCACCCACAAAATTAGTCCTGTTGGTGACAAATTGAGTCGTTTTATTCTCATCTTCGACACACAAAAATGTGGATTGGAATTCTTCTAAATGACTCTCACTATCACAGCACTTCGGATACAAATAGTCCACGCTTACACAGTTCCGAACTGTTAACAACACTAGTAAAAGTCGCAGCATGGTGAAATATTCAAGTTGTGTTACATGATGTTGCTTTGTGAGAATCCCCGACAGAACTGCCGAAGCCGAAGTCTCGCTTGGGCTCACACAATGTTGGGACTAGGATGTCCGTAAACACCTCTCTTTCATCTGATTGTGCGTGATATAGTAACACGGTTCTACTCAAGAATTATTTTCAGTTTTTTTTTTAAAGAATCGTCATTCTGAATAAGCACGAATGGCGTAAAACCTGTTCAATGGCATTGGAAAAGACTACACAAAATAGCCGCAGGAATTCCCACGAGGTTGTGTCATAATTTCATAATATTGTTCTTGTTGTATCGACTATAATGTGCGGTATCAGATTTAATAAACTCCGTTGTCTCGTGTGTTCGCGGTATATAAATGTTTGGAATGGAATTAAAGTGCAATTAAATATTAATAGCCTGCTAAATTCAGCTACTGAATAATTACACCGTTTCGGTTTGCGAATATAATGAAGACATCAAACACAAATAATCATAAATATTCCTATGTCAGGGTACTGTTAATAACGCTTAATTGGTTCCCGTTGCCTTGAAAGCGAAGAAGACGACACATGTTGGACCGAACATGATCTGATTATAGTTTACATTAATTGCAGGCTCGCTGAAAATTGACTTAGGAAGCTAATTAATAACTTTTAATTTATGTACAAAGACGTGGTGGATTATCTGGTGTCAAGTCCACAAAAAACTCGTTATAGCAGATACCATGACGCCAGACTTGGCAGAAATGTCACTCGTTGATAAAAAACGCTTGCATTCGTGTTGAAAACATGTCGTTTAAAAGTAATTTTCCCTGGGCGGATAAACAAATGTGATTTTGTCACAAAGCGTTTAATATATTTTTTTTTTGGTATTAAATGTGATTTTTGGTCTTTATTTTTAAAAGAAAAATTGATTATAAATTTGGAATAAGGTTAATACAATAAACAAAATTCTAAATCATTAGGCTACTTTGTATCTTAATAATAATATACATCGCGGTCATCTTTAACAGATCAGTTAACACAAAATTTTTTCGTATTTGCAAATAGGCCAAAGATCAATATGACCTTTAAAACAAATTATTATTATTTCAGATATAGCCCAAATCATGCACTGAATAAATAAATATTACCTCATGTGTGAAACTTTTTTCGGAAATTATTCTTCTAATACCGTGTGTCAGAACAAATCGCTGAATCATAATTGAAATTGTTCCAAGTGCAATATTGTCAAAAATATGAGGGCAAAATGAAAAATGGAAAATAAGAAATGCGAAATGAGAAATACACAATAAGAAATGTCGAATGCGAAAAGCAAAATGAAAAATCCCGAATGGGAACTTAGAAATGAGAAGTGTGAAACGAGAAATGCGAAATGAGAAATGGGCAAATCTAGGAGTGCGAAATGAGATGAGAAATAGAAATAAGAAATGATGAAGAATACGAAATAGAAAGTCGGAAATGGGAACGAGAACTGGAAAATACAACATGAATGCTAAATATGAAAATGAGAAATGAGAAATGTGAAACGAGAAATTAAAAGGAATGAGATATGCGAAATGAAAAATGTAAAATGAAAATTAAGAATGAGAATTGAATGAGAAATGAGAATTAAGAAATGCGAAATGCGACATTAGAAATAAGAAATATAGAACGAGAAATGCGAAATAAAAATGGGAAATAAATGAGAAATTAGAAATGAGAATTGAGAAATGCGAAATGCGAAATGCTACGTGAGAAATGCAAAATGAGAAATGAGCAAAAAAAATGCGAAATGCGCAACGCGAAATGTAAAATGCGGAATAAGATATGCGAAATGAAAAATAAGCAATGGGAAGTCGGAAAATAAGAAATGCAAAATGAGGATTAAAAATAGGTGATGAATGAAAAAATGAGAAATAAAAAATACCAACTGGGAAAGAGAAATGTGAAATGAGGAATAAATATAAAATGCGAAATGCGAAATTAGAAATGCACAACAATAAAAAATGCGAAACCCAAAATGAAAAATCCCGAATGGGAAGTTAGAAATGAGAAGCCTGAAACGAAAAATGCGGAACGAGAATGCGAAATGAAAAATTAAAAATGGGAAGTGAATGATAAATTAAAAAAGGCGATATGAGAAAAGCGAATTTAGAAACGCGGAATGAGAAATGCAAAATGAGAAATGAGCAAATCTAGGAGCACTAAATGACACAAGAAACAGAAATGCGAAATGAGGAATGAGAAATGAGGAATACGAAATGGGAAATGTAAAATGAGAAACGTACAATAAGAAATATGAAATGCGTAACGGGAAATGAAAAATGCGGAATGATTAATTAAAAATGGGAAATTTAAAATCCTAAATATGAAAATGAGAAATGTGAAACGAGAAATTAAAAGGAATGAGATCTGCGAAATGAAAAATGACATATGCGAAATCAAAAATGCAAAATGAAAATTAAAAATGAGAATTGAATGAGAAATGAGAACTAAGAAATGCGAAATGCGAAATTAGAAATTAGAAACACGGAACGAGAAATGCGAAATAAAAATGGGAAATGAATGAGAAATTAGAAATGAGAATTGAGAAATGCAAAATGCAAAATGCTAAGTGAGATATGCGAAATGAGAAATGAGCAATAAAAAATGCGAAATGCGAAACGCGAAATGTAAAATGCTGAATGAGAATTAGGAAAATCGTAATAAGAAATTAGAAAGAATAAGATATGCGAAATTAAAAATGAGAAATGGGAAACCAGAAATGAAAAATGCAGAATGAAAATTTAAAATAGGTAATAAATGAAGAAATGAGAAATAAGAAATGCTAAATGGGAGCAAAAAATGCGAAATGAGGAAGAAATAAAAAATGCTAAATGCGAAATTAGAAATAAGAAATACGACACGAGAAATGCGAAATAAAAATGGCAAATGAATGAGAAATCAGAAATGAGAATTGAGAAATACGAAATACTAAATGAGAAATTTTATGTGAAATAAGAAATGATAAATGCGCAATAAAAATGCGAAATGAAAACTGCGGAATGAGAAATGCGAAATGCGAAATAAGAAATGAGAGATGAAAAATTATAAGTGAAAAATGTGAAATGAAAAATGAGAAATGGAAAATCAGAAATGAGGAATGCAAAAGAAGAATTAAAAATAGGTAATGAATGAAGAAATGAGAAATAAGAAATGCTAAATGGGAACGAGAAACGCGAAATGCGGAAGAAATAAAAAATGCGAAATGCGAAATTAGGAATAAGAAATACAGCACGAGAAATGCAAAATCAAAATGGGAAATGAATGAGAAATAAGAAATAAGAATTGAGAAATGCGAAATGCAAAATGCTAACTAAGAAATGCTCAATAAAAAGTGCAAAATACGAAACACGAAATGAAAAGTGGGAAATGCGAAATAAGAAATCAGAAATGAGAGATGAAAAATTATAAATGAAAAATGTGAAATAAAAAGTGATAAATGAAAAATTAGAAGTAATGAGATATGCAAAATCAAAAATGAGAAATGGAAAATCAGAAATACTAAATGGGAGCAAAAAATGCGAAATGAGGAAGAAATAAAAAATGTTAAATGCGAAATTAGAAATAAGAAATACGACACGAGAAATGCGAAATAAAAATGGGAAATAAATGAGAAATCAGAAATGAGAATTGAGAAATACGAAATGCTAAATGAGAAATTTATGCGAAATAAGAAATGATAAATGCGTAATAAAAATGCGAAATGAGAAATGGTAAATGCGAAATAAGAAATGAGAGATGAAAAATTATAAGTGAAAAATGTGAAATAAATAATGAGAAATGGAAAATCAGAAATGAGAAAGTGCAAGAGGACAATTAAAAATAGGTAATGAATGGAGAAATAAGAAATAATAAATGCTAAATGGGAACGAGAAACGCGAAATGAGGAAGAAATAAAAAATGCGAAATGCGAAATTAGGAATAAGAAATACAGCACGAGAAATGCGAAATAAAAATGGGAAATAAATGAGAAATCAGAAATGAGAATTGAGAAATACGAAATGCTAAATGAGAAATTTATGCGAAATAAGAAATGATAAATGCGTAATAAAAATGCGAAATGAGAAATGGTAAATGCGAAATAAGAAATGAGAGATGAAAAATTATAACTGAAAAATGTGAAATAAATAATGAGAAATGGAAAATCAGAAATGAGAAAGTGCTAGAGGACAATTAGAAATAGGTAATGAATGGAGAAATAAGAAATAAGAAATGCTAAATGGGAACGAGAAACGCGAAATGAGGAAGAAATAAAAAATGCGAAATGCGAAATTAGGAATAAGAAATACAGCACGAGAAATGCAAAATCAAAATGGGAAATGAATGAGAAATTAGAAATAAGAATTGAGAAATGCGAAATGCAAAATGCTAAGTGAGAAATGCGAAATGAGAAAAGCGAAATGAGAAATGCGCAATAAAAAATGCAAAATGCGAAACGCGAAATGAAAAATGGGAAATGCGGAATAAGAAATCAGAAATGAGAGATGAAAAATTATAAATGAGAAATGTGAAATAAAAAATTAGAAGTAATGAGATATGCGAAATAAAAAATGAGAAATGGGAAATCAGAAATGAAAAATGCAAAATGAGAATTAAAAATGGGTAATTAATGAGAAATGAGGTATAAAAAATGCCAAATGGGAAATTAGAAATAAGAAAAAGTACGGAACAAGAAATGTAAAGTGACAAATTAAAAATGGGAAATGAATTATAAGTTAGAAATGAGAAATGCGAAATGCAAAATTGGAAATGAAGAATGAGAAATGAGCAATGAAAAATGCGAAATATGAGAAGCGAAATGAAAAATGCGGAATGAGAAATCAGAAATAAGAAATGAATGAGAAATTAGAAATAAGAAATGTGAAATGCGAAAGTACAAATAAGACATACGGAACGAGTAATGCGAAATAAAAATGGGAAATGAATGAGAAATTAGAAATGCAAAATGCGAAATGTTAAATGAGAAATGCGAAACGAGAAATGAGCAATAAAAATGCGAAACACGAAATTTAAAATGCGGAATGAAAAATGACAAATGCGAAATCCGAAATAAGAAATAAGAAATGAATATAAGAGATAATAAATTATAAATAAAAAATGTGAAATGAGAAATTAGAAGGAA